GCTAACGGAAGCCGACCGTCGGACAATACTCCAGGCAGTCTTTAAGCGTGTGGAGGCGCAGCAACAAACGACCGGGAAATGGATACAAAAGGAGGGCAGCGATGAATGCCAACATCCGTCCACCTGTGCTTTGGCTCGAATGGAGTTGTTCACCTGGCTTTGGAGCCCGATTCCCAATAAAAGCCCTTGGGTTTGGCGGTCTTCCTGGTCCAAAGATCTATGCCGTCCTTGTATTAGTGTTGGAAAGGCCTTACACAAGGAGGGACGGCCAGAATTATGGGAGCGTATCCCATCGTTGTTCAATCTTCCACCTTGGGAAGAGCTACTTAAGGAGGTGAGTTCCAAACTCACATCGGTGTTTGAGTCTTCGAGAGTGCTAATCTTTTCCAGAACTAAAGGGCAGTATTCTGCTATATACTGGGGGGGCTCGACGTATGAATCGATTAGCATAGAGGCAGACGGTACACCCCACGATAGACAGTACACATAAATGACAATAATTGGCGGCGATGGAGAACAATGGAGGGAAATTTGAGGAAAATAGAGTAAAAGTTTCGCAACGAATAGTTATGGTTGAAGGATATCAATAAAAGAATCATCATCAAGAAGAAAAGGCAGAATATGATGAGTGCGTAAGTAGTTGACTCGACTTGATGGAACAAACAGGAGCAGAAACCACGCAGAAACATGAAGGGACTCAGCGGGAGGTCGTTGTATTTGAGTTATTTGGATGAAGGGAGGGGTGCATGGATACAAAGTCGAAAGATGACTGGGCGAGCGAAGAAACCCAGAGACGACCCGCAGTTATCGTGACAAAATGGTCATTGCCGGGGAGAAGTAGTTGTCGAGACGAGGGGGGTTGCATAAGTCTGGTTTCCCAACAGAACTGTAGGAGAATGACTGAGTTTATGAAAAGAGATGAATCGTGTTTACTGACATGCATCTTCCGAATTAGGCAAGTGGCGAAAATTGCGTCGTCTGCCGTGGTGCTTATTCTTCGCAAGTAACGAGAGAACCAGCCATTGGGCCATCATATGCGAGGATCTCTTAAAACAGGTACGGCCGAGGAGTTGCCGCATTTACGACTTCGATTTCTCCAGCAAGAACGACCATTGTGAGGATCCGGACTGCGAATGCCTCTGTGCTACAAGTGGTGGCTTCCCGTTGCATTTTATTGTATATAGAGTCGCAGGAGAAGATGCGACAAGTCCAAGTTGGTTGGTGGGAAAGTCGCCTTCATTCGCCTCGACGGCAGTTGACGCGACAGTTATGGCTAACGAAGATGTCGATGGTAGGATGAGGGGGGTTTTTATGGGGTAAAGATGGGGTCTGTGTTTTCGATTTTCGAGGGCGTAAGGGAATAGATAGTGGCGGGGGTATACAAAAATGCATCGACAGGCGGACATCGGCGGGAATGAAGAAACACGTCGTGGATGGCTGAAAACATGGATATCGAGGTGAAATATTCGTCGTAAAGCATCTGGGCAAGTGTCAGAGAGAAGAATAACAAGGTAAAGAAAAACTTCGACTGACCAAAAAGTCGGTCCAGATTGGGCCAGTGGCCACAGCGGTGAATCTGCTTCTCGTTTGCCTTTGCGCGGTTTCACACGTTTTCGAGGGGTCTGAAGAGGGAATGTAAAAGCTTGAAGATAGCCACAATAGAGTTTGACGCCGTGTCTTTCGGTGAGATGAAGTAAACAGTGGTAGAGAAGAACGGTCCTTGATGTTGCTAAGCACACGCAGCTCCAGAGATTGAGAACAACGCACATGTGGTCCCAGGCTCCCGGACTGCTCACTAGACAGTATCACTTGCGCCTTTCCCCATGTCTGCCCGCTAGCGCTGAAGAGACCGTCCCGGTCTTTGAGGAGTCTTTACTCATCCTTCTAGCATCATTTAAAGCCTCCACGTTGGTGACTGGGTCGAGTCGTCGGCCTTCGGCGTGTCTTGACAGCGGATGGAGGGGAGGAGGAAGATACAAGGACGAATGAAGACAATGGTGGCCGCCGGTGCAAGATAGATTGGCTCAACACTTTAAAGAAGTGGAGGTGAGTTAACTGACGAATACTTTTAAGCCTAAAGAAAGCGCGGAAGGGGGAGTGAGGAGAAAACACACCTTCAAGTCAAGCGTTTCACCAACGCCTCAGTCCTTCATGTATCCGCTGTGGTATGCCGCTATTCGTGCCGAACTGGATGTACCGCAGCGCTAGGTGAAGTCGCGGCCATCCTAAGAGTCGCTGAATTCGTTGGGAATGGTCTGCGTTTCAGTACGGCCGCAAAAACATTGGCACCGGCTATAAATGGATGAAAAAGGATTGGAAGACAGTAAATAGAGAGGCTTAATACGTTGTGGCACGATTTCCTGAGGGTCCAAAAAAGTGTTTGTAGGCTGGGGACGTTCCAGGTGGTGGTTGTCGTCAAGAAGAAGAAGATGTCATGCTGATGAGTCAGCACTTCTCTCTTGCAGCTGACGACGATTGACTCTCACAATTGACTCTGCGGACACAATGTCCCCCTCAAATCTCATGCTCCTGGAAGACCCAAAGCCAGCAAACGACTTTCGATGGGCCGATTTGATCCAATTGAAAGAACTTGAACGTCTCCATGAGAGAGATAGAAGCAGCGCGATAGCTTTCTATTGTTACGCCACTCAATGTCGTCTTTCACGTCCGCGAACGAAGTTTCGCTCCCGAGTGGAGGGAGGACGGACAAGAGCCACAAGACCGCTTCTTCTGTCTTCGGCAACTCATGCCATGCAGGTGTGTTCTCGCGGTCCCGGGCCTACTAAGTATGAGCTCTACAGAACCCGTGCGACCACTGGCAGCTATAAACGAATGGCTCGACGTGGGATAATGGAGTCATCCACCCTCACATGTTATCTGCAATCGTCTTCCTCCTGCTCTCCGCCTACCTCACTCGCGCACTTTTCAACGAGGCCCGTCCGAGTCGGCGGCGCGCAATCCAGCATATCCAAGGCCCACTGCCCAGCTCATGGCTCCTTGGTGCGCTTTCGCTTCACGTTGCTTGTCATCGGGAGCACTAACTCTCACCACCACTAGGCAATCTCGTGGAGCTCCAAATCCCGCAAATCTATGGCGACTTCGAATCCGCCTGTCGCAAGGCATATGGGCTTGTCTACCGGTTCAAGGGCGGGTTTGGTGTAAGTAATCAATAATTCTACCTTGAGCTCATTTCCATTGCAACGCGTTAACTTTACCCTTTCTCCAGCAGGATAGACTCGCAATTTCGGACCCCAAAGCACTTCAATACATTTATAACAGCGCCGCATTTGTGAATACGCCTGCGTATGGGACACTTATCGTCTGGTTGCTCAGCGCGGGCGGCGTCAGCGGCAAAATGGGTACTTTGCGCTGCGCCAATTAGTAAGAGGCTTCGGTTGACTGACTCGATTTGTTCAGGACGGGAGCACCGGGAGCTGCGTTCGGCGCTCAACGTCGGCTTCTCCCCAGCAGCTATACGGAACTATGGAGTGATATTTGAGCGCGTTGCGCAGAAGGTACGCAACAGTCAACGAAAGGAAACCACTATTTAAGCTAGGATGTAGCTTGTGGATCGTTTGGCCGCATGTATGGACGAGAACAAACATGGAGTGGTCGATATCGTCCCTTTGTTGACCAAAGCGGCCCTGGCAAGCATTAGCGAAGGTGAACTGAAGCCGTCAGTCGATATTGATCAGCCGAGACTCAGATAGTATAGCTACTCTAGGAGTACCACTGGAAGAAGTCCCGCCGGAGGTCGTTGAAACCAATCGCCAAATTGTGTGGGTCAAACACATACAATTCTCGAATGCTCTAAGGTAGGCGACATTTGATTTCATCGAGCGTTACTGATGTGATTGATGTGACTGATCTGCACAGCCACGCGCGAAATTTTGGGACGTTTTTTTGACCAAGCGTTAATTGGGCAAGAGGAGGCAATAGAAGTACTTAATGTTTTTTTATGCTACAAATAGTATGAAGTTTGCCTACTCAAGCCTGTGCTGGACCCAGTTTCCAAGCTGGCCACGACATCTTAGCCTCCTGTAAGTCCTCTGCATATGACGGCGGCAAGGTTCGATGTCCGCGGTACTTTTTGTTGGCCCACGCAGCTTCCGCCCCATTGAGCCCACGGGCTTGTCGGAATCCGATTCCAAGCTGGGTTCATGGTGTAGAATGGTTGGTGGATTATGTAGGATGTCAAATACATCATGTTCAGTCTCTTCGTCGCTAGAGCTGTCCAGTTTGCGTCGCTGCAACAAGTTGTGGGTCAATGCCAGTTAAAGAGGAAAAAAGAGAGACCATACTTTGACCTTTTTCTGAGCATGAGCACCCAGATTCAAGACTCTTTTCCTTCCAGCCTTGCGTGGCATGCTGCTTCAGTGGTATGGGTGGACCATAGAGCACGAACGAGTCGGCTACGGCGATAGAAAATGGTGCGAGGTGTGATCACGTGTGCGTGCCGGGATACCACGTGCCGTGACATGTCACGCATTTTAGCGGCGCGAAAGTCCCTCAAATTTTTTTTGGATTCACTCAGGAAGCAAAGGAAAAAAATATGGGACACTTTCCAAAAAAGGAAGTTATAACTCAACATTGGGGATAGTTACAAAAAATCTACAACCAAGGGTCTGTCGGGGGCATTGAATCCTTCAAATTACCGGTTTGACTTTTCCCAAAAGTGTGCCCATTGTGGCAGAGTAGGTAGGCCATCAAATGCCATCAGATCAATCCCATCACTCGATGAAATCAAATGTCGCCTACCTCACTACTACCATAACAGCGAAGAATCCGCCACGCGCAGGCCCGCGCAGCTCATCGTGGACGAAATACTGAACCTCGAGCTTCTGCCCGGCTGGCTGCTGCGCGCCATGCCCAAGTTGGCCATCGGGGAGGTCTTTAAGCGCATCAGGGACCAAGTCCGCTATACCGAGCGGCTTGGTTGGCAAGCAGTGGATAGCTATATGGAGAGGGGACTCGACGACTCGACGCGCTAGAAACCCTCTATGGCGCTTCTCTCTGACAACAAGCAAGGTATGTATTCTCATCATGATAATTACTATGAATAATCAAGTTGGCTGAGCACTGTTGCAGGACTCGGAAATCTGACGGTAGAGAATCTTGTACAGCAAACATCCACGCTGTTCATTGCGGGGCAGGAGACGAGCGTATGGGCTAGCCCAGACGGCATTACCTCAAGCTGATCGTTCAATCTAGGCGATCGCGCTGTCGTGGCTATTCACCGAGCTCGCCCGCAAACCAGCGCTACAGGACGCTCTGCGCACGGAGGCGCTTGAGCTGCGCGCCAAGCAAGTTCCGTTCGAGCAGTACCCGTTGCTCAATGCGGCTATCAAGGCCAGTTACATGGCCCTTACTAAATACCTGCTTTTCAAGTGACTGTCATCGCAGGAAACACTCCGCCTGTATCCGGCCCTCCCAATTATGCATCGGATGGCCGACCAGGACGCCGTCATACCGCTTTCCCAGCCTATCACGACAACGAGCGGCAGCACGGTGGACCATATCGAGGTGTGCAAGGGGCAGCTGCTGGTGCTGTCGATCGGCTCCTTCCAACGGCGAGTTGAATTCATGGTCACCATAGCCATTTAATTATGCTACATATAGGCTTGAATCACGCTGGGGAGCAGACGCCGACAAGTTCGACCCGTATCGCTGGATCGAGGGGCGCGTGGTGCAAGGCGATGGGATGGGCCCATATGCAAATTTGTACGTGACCATCGTCTTCTGTCGCAACTGCAAGCTGAGGGCAGGTAGGCTGAGCTTCGCCGCCGGCCCGCATGTCTGTCTCGGGTAAGTCGCCCAGTCTCTTGACATGCTACATCAGCAAAACTACATTTTCCTGGGGGCTCTGGGGGAGCTCTGGGGTGACTGGCGCCGGACTGGGCAGACTGGAATCACTGGATCACTGGGCGGGCAACATGATGAGTTCATCGGGACGAAATGGCGTCACCATAGGACCCCCGAAAATACGGTCTGGACTTTGATACCTCCTAGGGTCAAATTTGTCCGAACAGGCGACGAAATTTGGGCCAAATTTGTCCGTACAAGTATTAAAGTCCCAATTTTTTTAGGCATCTTTGCGGCACTAGTACATAAGTGAATAAAGTTTCTTCGGCGTGCTTGCCCGCGTCCATTCTAAGCCGAAAAACCCTACTCATCGACCTCCTCCGCCACCTTACGCTTCCGAGCTTGGATAAGCGCCTTGGATATGTTGGCGGGGACCCTCTCAGCGGAAAACAATGTAAAATCAGCATCCGAGAGGGCAACTTGTGAGCTAGTGTGGGATTTCTGTGGTGCCTTAACTAGTGCGAGGATTTGGAGAGATGGAAGATGGGCAAAGGTAGAGGTGTCGAGATGCACTGTCTGCTTGGTAACGGATTGGAATGTACCGTTAGAAAGGGAAAGCTCATATAGCTGGACCCCAACGAATGAGAGGGCAGCGATATTTGATTTGCCGCCATCCACCACAAGCCCATGCTTGCCATATTTTCCAGCCCCGCATACAAGGTGAGGACTATCAAAAATTGTGAGTTTGAGTAAACTTGAAGGACTATGACAAGCGGCCACCAACCTTGAGCCAGATATACGTCAAATGTGTTCCGGGTCACTACATCTGCAGCTACAAGAACCCAATCATGCGGAAGGAGTGGCCGCACAGCAGATATACGCGCTGATTCGATATCGGTCAATCGAGCAACATTGGCGTCAGCAAATAGCTTTCGTCGTTTCCGAAAAGCCTATCAACAAGTAAATTCAAAGTGGCTTCAATTGGACAAAGAAGAATATTACCTCTCTTGCACGAGTTGCCGCCGACGCAGCAGCATTGGCAGCATTACCAGCCGATGTCACGGTAGCAGGCTCTCCCCCAAGAGATTGTGTGCGGAGCGCCCGGTCAATGCCAGTCGTAAGGCCACGGTCTTCAGTCTGCTTCAAAATGGCTCGCATTGACTTGATAAGCTGTCGCTTTGCCGATTCGGAAGCTGGTTCGACATGCACATGAACACGGACACCTTGCGCTGCTTGATGTGTCTGATGCTCTCGTCGTAGAGATACAAGGGCAGAGTAATCGAATTGTGTGGGCTGGGTGAGACGAGTTCCAGCAGTTCCGAATAGACTAGGTATAAGAGAAACTGCTGCCATGCCGCTGATGGGTGTAGTGTCAGTGCTAGATAGTCGGGAAAGATAGTGTGCAATTTCTTGCGCCTCTTCGTCTTCATGCTGGTGGTCATCAACGGTAGGCTGGGAGTATTGCTGACTATAATGAATGAGTACTTGCTCACAAAATATCAGTTTAAGGACGTACACCATCGCATATTGGTCAACCAGTAATGTTGCTGCTGCCATAGACAGTGTTGTTGCTTTAGCGCGACCAGCCGCAGTAGTCGATGAGCGAAAGGACTCAGTGTCGAGTTGGCTGAGCAGCTCATTGAGTTCATTTCCATCTCCTATTGAGGCGGATATTGATGCATTGTCGTCGTTCTCGGAGTTTATGGACTCCACGTCATCTCCAGACCGATGAAGCCAATCTGCGATTGACGGGATTCTTTCGCGACGAAAGCGATCTTGCATACGACGCACAATAACAGCATCGACACCACAAGCAGTGCATAGCGCATTTGCATCTGCTCGAGCTGCTGTGGCGAGTGGCTTCATTTCATCCGTTGTTGGGAAGCTCGAGAGGCCTTCCAAGTTCATTCCACGCGTGTCCCAAAACGTGTGACAGTACCCTCCTGCTCGTGCTTTCCCATCGGATGTTCGAGATCGTAGAATGGCATGTCTAATGGAAATTGAAGCCGAGGTACCATGTACAGGAAGTCGAGGTATGTGAAGTCCTTGACAAGTTGACGGCAAATACCAAATGTGTGTTCGCAGGCCTCGCTGGAGTGTAGCCATGGGAGAAGTGGTGTATCGGGAAAGTCGTCGCGATAGATGATTAAGAGCAACAGGTAGCCTTCGATGATTATTCGTGAGATGTCGAGGCATTCGCGTGAAAGGTGGTGGCGGGCTTTGTCATACTCCGCACAGTCAATAAAGTCAGACCACGCATCAAGAAAATATTTCGCCCGCATAACCATTTGAAAACGGATATGATGAGAGAGGGACCGGTTTTGGTACGCGTCGACGAGCTCGCCAAAAACAAAGAGGTATATGATGGCAAATGGCCAGTCGGGATGGTTTTCGGCGATATATTGGAGGGTGTCAGCAGAGAACATTCGAGTGGCTGCACCGTCATCCTGGCGATCGAGCTTTTCGACATCACGATGGTAGAGCGGGGAGCCCTCTTCAAATGCAACTTGGTAAATTTGAGCAAAATGTGCAATGTGGTTGCCGAGAGTGAGTATGCGAGCACCAGAAAAAAGGTTGTTGCGAAAGGTCTTGAGTGCGTGTTTGGAGTCCTGGATCATGGCAACTTGCTGGCCCCGGAACGGCCAATCACAATTTTGAAGTTTGCACTGTCATCGTCGCCAGGAATCTCGTACTCTATCCTTTGGTCTGCATGCTCTACAAGTAGCCGTTGAATCGCCCTTTCGGACTCTGTTCCATCACATGCATATGAGACGACCCGAATACCTCGCTCAATTAGACCGGTGAGCAGGGTCAGAGAATACGGCTCAAGTTTCTCTGCTGGCCAGTTTTTTGAGCCAATTGGCATGGCATGCAATAAAATTGGTGTCGATCCTGGTGCTTGTACTGAGAGTGTGAAAAGACGAAGCTAAGAGAAGGTCGTCAGACCTGGAACAGGACTTAGAACAGAATATTTTACCTTGGTTGCCTTGTCTAGTTGAGCCTGCTCAATTAGTTTGCGAACAGCATCAGGGTTATCCACGCGGAATGGACCCGAAGAGCTTCCGACCAACATATATGCTCCCTTCTCCGAGTCCCAATAGAGACGATGCGCTGCACACAACTTTGTATCGTCTACACTCAGTCCAACGGGCCCCGTCCAAGCCAGAGCCTCTAAGTGCTTCAACGCGAGCTCATATGTCTGCTCGCAGATAGTCATCGGAAACTTGGGCTGTTTTCCTTCCTTCAAGCTGTCCAACGGTTAGTTTCAACATTTGGAAGACTCAAGATAACGAGAGGATACCGAAGATTGCGTTGCGACTGTGCTGGCAGATGCTCGGAAAATGTACGGTATGCTGCCGGACTTTGTAGGTTAAGAATTTGAGTGAAGTCGTCATATGCCGGCGTAGCGGAAAGTTTTGGAGCCCCACACCCCGACTCTCCTTGTCGTGTTGAGTGACCATGGCTTCCGTCAAACCCTTGAACACTTCATCGTTGTATTCGCCACGCAAGGCACCAAGCGTGTACCGGATAAATGGTGAGTCGCGGCTCTTCCGTTCAATCAGCTCCTTCACACCAATAGCGCGCGCGTAGATTTGACCCATCAGTGGAGAGCGAAAACGATAGGGTGTATGGACATAGTGACGGTCTTCGGGTTTAGGTCGATGGATTGCCGTTTTGAAGGAACGCGACCGGAGAACTTGTTGGCATTCGCGACATGGAGCGGTCCGAAGTGGAGACAGGTCGCAGACGAGTTTCTTGCATGTCCGCGAGTAAACACGGACTGGAAGGGAGTGGTGCTTATTTTCCCAAGTATGTGACTGCTCCTGCGCATCTAGCACCTGGCGACGTTGCTTTGAGTCGAGGCGGCTGAAAAAGCGCTTGAAGAACTGCTTCGACAAGGCTGTAACACTTTGACCGCCACCTCCGGAGACTGCTGTGCGTTCAAGATATGTAGTGACTCGAATATCATCATCCGGTCCAATGCCCGGGCATGGGACGCGAGATAACGTTCTGAATTCAGCTTCCCTATAAAGACATGAGTGCTAAGCTTCTCGTCAATGAATTATTGATGGACCCACTTCCGACTTGCTTTCCCAGCAGACAAATACTCGTCCATACGGTGAGTGTTTTGCGTATGCTTTTTGTACTTCCGTTTCTTGATACCGCAGCTTGCTGAATGCTGTCGCGCTCGTGTCAAATCGTAAGGTTGCTTCCCCTTCATCCACTCGTAACACTTCCGAACAGCGCCATTCAACCACATTTCCGGGACGATACGCAAATTTATCATCGATTTCTGCCATTCCCTCTAGCCAACCCTTGTAGCGCAACATATCCAGGCGAAAGGTACCCTCCCGGAACGCTTGACGAGCATTGCGGGTATGGACGGATGATCGTGCAGTTCCCGTACCCGCCGGCCTGGCTTTTGGGGGTTCGACGTCCGACTCGGAGTCGTCAGGCTTTCGCTTTCGCTTTCGCTTTCGCTTGCCGATGATCTTCTTTGTGGTTCTGCTTGTCGCCGCCATTGTGTACTTCATTCCCGCAGTAAGTGTTGTCTGAGTTGTCGTCGAGACTTGCTGAAGACCATGTTTGAGTGCTTTCCCGATTTTGGCTGCTGTCGCCGACAGAGTACTCCGTTCGGAAGTCGAAGAATGTAGGGATGTGTCAGAGTCATCCCCACCCGTACGACTGGCTGCTGTATTACGGGTAGTCAGTGAAGCGGAATATTGGCCGAATCACTATGCATTACTTACCGTTTGAGGCTTCTTCGTCTTCTGAATCAGTGTCAGGCTCAATAGCCACTTGCTCGGGTGGTAGTGTATGCGCAGCCTCGACATCAGGGTTAAGCAGCTCGTTGAGGTGGTGACGTCGGAGAGATGGGAGTGTGACTGGTGTCGACGTCGAAGACGCTGTCATGCGCTCAGCGCCAGCAGTCGGAGAAACAGTTGTTGGCTCTGAGCAAACACTGGCACACTCCTTAGCCATTCGAATGCCCCAGCGTATTCTGCGCATGACACCCAATTGGGGTTTCCATCCTGGATCACCCCAGACTGCAGTCATGACTGCGTCAGCCCAGCAAACCCCGCAGTTAAGACTATCTGTCTGTTGTCCGATAGGAAGAACATTGCCCATATCGTTCAAGGGGACCATAAACCGTTTTTTCGACCATAGCTGTAGTTTTTGAATGATCTTTCGGGGGTAGACACCATAGCGGCTGTCAAAGAGCGAATCTCCTAACACAATCTCAGTGAAAAAAGCTTGTACTTGACCCAGAAACACTCACCAAAGGAGACCGTCCCATCCTTGAAGTTGGCAGCAACCACAATCCAGTGATTGTTTTGGACATGTGCTGGCGCATAGAGAACATCGATATCTTCGCGGTAGACCTGCTCCTCAATCCTTCTCATAACGGTGTCTCGGACATGCTCGTCATCGTAGCTGTGCTGAATCGAGGTTTGAAGAAGCTTGTTGGTGAAAAGCAGTGGCGCGAACAGCACTCGAAGACCGGATTTTGGGCGTTCCATTTTCAGTCGTTCGCGCATATGATGTACTTGAAGCGCAATTTGTTCCTCGGACAGCCAAGCTTTGCCAAAGAATCGGATGAGACTGGTTGTTTGAAGTCCCGTCGTCCCAATGGGCTCCTCCCAGCCGATTTTCCCTAGTAACCCTAGCATCTCCTCCGCTGCCTTTCGTGTCACCTCTGGCGCATCAGGCACCGCTTGGCGACGCAGATATGTGAAAGCAGACCTCCATGACGCTTGGGTATCGCTTATTAACCCCAGCTCAAGCCACAACTTGAGAGTCCAGAGGGGGAAGCGGTCTTGTCCGTCATTGCATCGTGGGTCAACAATCGACTGATATCCGTCAAGCCAAAACTGACCCAACGCTGCAAGTAGCCGTTGAATGACCTCCCTCGACGGAAGAGAGCGAAAAATGTACTGCTGATAGAGGTACAGGGGGCGTCGCGACTGAACCAGCTTGCGACTGACCCGCTGACAATGTCAGACGAGCGCGAAGCATATGGCAGTTGGAGCGCGATGAATTCTGCAGCGGGGAGGTGGGTCGGTATAGGAAATAATGGGAATTTGAGGCCGGTGGGGAGGCTGAGGAGCTCCGAACGTGCTGCAACGAGGGCATCGGGTGGTTTGCCCATCCAAGACTGCAGGTCAAAAGACACTGAATCTGCATCTATATCAATGAGCTCGTTAGACATTTTGTATGCACCAGATGAACGCGCGTCGACGGCAAAAAAAGAGAAAAAAGTGCGGAAAAAGCCCCTATGCGTGACACACGATCGGTCGTCATGATGCGAAGTGAGCGCGCAACAAACCTACAATGCATGCGCAAAGCTTAGCTGCAAGCAATTGTTGCCAGTAGAATAGCAGAGAATAAGATATTTGCATTGTTGACAGCTCCATCGAGCATCTGAGCTCATGAGGCCGGCGCTAGCAGTCACTTACATCTCTCTTGGAGGGTAGCTTGTAGTGACCAGAAGATGGTCCAAGGGCCAACTAGACACGCTATTGTCAGGAAAGGGAGTTTCATTGACGGTGGTGGTGAGTCAGAAGAGAGAAAGACATGAGGCATCGACACGTCGCTCGGCTGCTCGGCGCTGTCCGGCGGCGAATGATTTACGTCTATTTACGTAGCATCAAAAGTATACTACATTAGACTGCATTTTGGCCAAAAGAACAAGACATAATGCGATACTAGATAAGATGGCCTCAATTGGCAGAGTTTGGCGCAAGTTGGCGCACTTTTGGCGCCTCGGATCCTCTCAGATCGCCCAAATATGTCCGCACCTTATCACATAGTTACCGGACCTCCAGACCAAATTTGTCCGAACTTTGCACCAAAGTTTTGGGCACTTTTGGACCCAATTCTGTCCGAATTTGTCTCCAAGTCCAGACCGTATTTTCGGGGGTCCTGTCACCATCAATCACGGATGGCACTTCTGGCACGAAAGAAGGCCAATTCTTCCCACCCTTTTTCTTCCTCCCCCCCCATCTCCTCTCGTCGTTCGCCCGCTCCACACATCCCCAGCCACGTCAAGGGCAGTTCAATGCACTTCAAGTGTTACTCAGGCTTACCCTCAACATCTCGCTTCAAGTCATTCAAGTTCGCAAGTTCCGCAAGCATACCAGCAAGTCGCAAATTCACAAGCAGCAAGAGCGCAAGTGCTGGGCCTCTGCGTTATAACTCACCGCTCCCACCCCCGCCATAACCCATCCTTCCCCCTGGCTCCCCCATCGTGGATTCACTTCCCCCCTATCGCTGTCCCCTTCCATGCCAACGCCAGTCCCGGCTTGTCTAACGCCACATTTGGTCTCACACCCACCCAACACGAATACGAAGGGGGAGGAAATGGACAGCGTAACGCAACCCGGTTGTGTGCGGCGTGCTCCGGGTCCCGGGAGTGTCACTGTGAGGCACCCTGTTTCAAGGGTTGAATGTAGGGGGGCATGTTTCGGGGCTACACGTAGGTGTTTAGTCTGCCAATGTACATGATATCGTTGAATAATACCGCTTCGTTGTTATATATCTGTGTAAAAGCCTGTATGAGTACTATCCGGCTGGTATTGTGGGTGTTGCAACATATCGTTCTGGGGCCAGAATTCGTTCTGGGGGTGTTCTGGATCCCTGAGCGCATTATGCTTCCAAAAGTAATTCTGGGCCCAAAATGTGTTTTGGGCTACTGGGTGACCTGGGATGTCTGGTCCCAGACCGCCCAGTAAAATGTAGTTTTGCTGATGTAACGTGTCCTACTTATGCACACTGTAGATGGAGATTTGCGTGAGTATCCTCACTTGTGGGCGTTACCGGGTTTTGAACACAACACAACAGGATACAAGAAATGCACATCATCGCCGCAGAGCTGATCTGCAACTTCGCTTTCATGCCCGCTGCTGATGGCGTCGTTCACGCGCGACTAGGGACATTTCTCATGCCGACGGACTCGACCGGGCGGAAGTGTGCTTTGTTGAGAGTGAAAAGGGAAGCTTCAGATGTGTCGACACAAATATGAATATTATTATTTTGTTACTAGCCTGAGCCTGAGGGCCCCAGATATCAGAATACTTCAAGTTCGGGGGCTAAAATGTATGATTTCAAGTAAAGCGTTAGACAGTTTCAAGTTGGGTTATTTGATGTTCATAGACCAGATCCGTGTTACATGAACTGGTATAGTGCTGTCCAATTATGATTATGAATACGAAATTTTCATAATTTATTCATATTCATAATATATTCTCCCTGCTGGAGCATATTATAATTGTATTCATATTCATAATCATAATCGAGCTCAGAATATGAATATATTCAATTATATTCAAGCTACACAAGTTTGTACATAGGGCATATAATCCACCTTATCTTGTGGTTTATTCAACCACTCCTTGGTTATGCTTGCTTCTGTCACCAGTTTTGCAGTCATTGAAGCATACATATCTGTCATCCTATGCTTGATGCTGTAGAACAGGCACTCTACAGAGATACTCCTTGCAGCAATGACTAGGATTAATAACATAGCCTGGATATCCGACAATAAAATATTAACCTAAACAAAACTCTAGATTAATCATGATACCTTTATACCCACCAAGAGTGTCATCAAAGTTTGGGGCAACAATGTAAAGGTCAACTTCAGCCCTCTGTCAGGGCTGGATACAGATGTTGTTCTGCCTGATTTACTGCTAAGAGTCATTGATATTGCAAAGACTGAGTTTGAAGATGTTGTCACTGCTTTATAGTAGCCTGCTACAGAGCTAGTACTTCTGGCTGAAGGGCTTGCTGGTGTATTTGAATATGGTCAATTATGGCCAGGGTATAATATATTATATTCATAATATATTCATATTCATAATCACTCATATTCAATGGGTCTGAATATGCAGAGGGCATAATATAATCATATTTATTCGAATATATTCAAAATATATTCTAGCATAATATAATTGTGGACAGCACTACATGAACACATTGTTAACAAACTGCATTTCATGGGCCTGGCCACTTTCGTTGCAGCAGGTTCCACTTGTCAACGTCGGTGAAGCACCTGTGCGGGTTCCATCGTAGGAAGTCTTCAAGCTCCGCATATTTGCTCCAGTTGCGCATCGTTTGCAGTCGAAAGAATTAAATTTTGTTAGAAACTTTTAGCGCCGGGAATTAATTCTGAGCTAGAAATTGCTAGTCCTAAGTTGTGTACTGTACTTGTGTAGTGGGATTAATCCTCCCCAATTAATTCCAATGTGCAATTAATCCTACCTTGTATGTGTAAATCCTGCCTGTGTTAAATCCCCCAGGATTAATTATGCCCTCAATTAATCCTGCGGGACCTTCCTCATAACCCAACTTGAAGATTCATCCAACCCAGAATTAAATTCCGAAAATTAATCCTAATCCTGACTTCAGAATTAATTGTGGCACCGCACAGCAAAATCGTGACATTAAGATTGTAGGACAGTTACAAGGCTATTTCATCTCTTCTTTGGCGGACGGCTGTCGTCATCAATACCCACCTCTTCTTGTGTGCGCTTTCGGGCGCGAGTCATATGCACTGTTGGCGTAGTAGGTGCCACACGAGTTAGGCTACGACCACCACGACCGTGACCACGGCCACGGCCACGATGGACTGGTGTGGCTGGTGGTGGGGTTAGACGCGAGCTTCCGAATAGCTGCCCAAGATGTGCTGGAGCTCCTTGGAGTGGTGTCACTGGAGGCGAAGTAACCACTGGCAGAGGCGGCACAGGGTCACGGTATTCGGTGGTGGAGTAGTCGACTGTGGAGTTGTGGGCGGGGTCACAGGGGGTGGAGTCGAGGGAGGCGGGGTCGAAGGAGGCGGTGCCACGAGTACCCACCCGGGGTTCCCATGCATCAATGTCTCTGACAAGAGACATGCAATGATGAATCAAGGTCTGTGGTTGAGACCTGCCCATGATGCATCATTGTGTCTCTGGTTCGCTGGGTGATCTTCCTGGCATTGGCAATGTGGCCGTTGTATGACAACCTTCCTGTCAGCGTCCATCACTGTGATCAATATCCGTCGCCACCGCCATCAACGTCGTCGCCATCGCCATCAACGACGTGAACAAGGTGTTTGTAAATAATCCTAAAAAATCTGAAAAAATTGTGGCATCTAGGGACGTGAAATTAAATGCACGAACGATGGTTTCTCGTGACGAATTCGCGGCCAAAAGCACTCAAATCCCGATATTACCCTCTATCTGGGCACCAACAAGCCACTGGTTGGACCCAATAGGACGCGTGCCTGCCTAAACCATCCACCACTCTGTTGTCTCCTTCTGAGTTGACCCCCCCCCTGCCCGCCGGAGGACTCCGGCGGGAAACCCGCGCACATCTCGCCCACATGTTCTACCTCCAACCAGCCAGCCTCGGCCTCGGCCTCGTCCCTCCCCCCTGGCTTTGTACATCACCTGCTCACCCCCGACAGCCTTCAAAGCTTCCGCCCGTTCTCCCCGACAGCGCTAGCCCTGGCCGGGTCCCCGGTCCAGGGCCAGCCCATTGCCACGGCCGTCGCCGTTGCCCTACCCGGCACACCATCTCCCCGCAAAGCTCTCTCCCTACTCTACCTGGACGCGGACTCCAGCTTTGGGGACGATGCGCTCGCTGGTACTAGCACTCATGTGCGATTCCCGATATTGGGGATCCAGGAATCACGCCGCGCGGTCCGCTTTTAGCGGGACTGTTTTGGCTAGAAGCTTCCCTGGCACATCCCGGCCTTTGCCAGAGCCAATCGCGTGCCGTGCCGGGCGTTTGTGCGCACCTTCCGGGCCCATCCGGCATGCTCCAGTGGGCCGCCGGGCGTGGCTACAATGCGCTTCTCCGCCTTGCATTTTGTTGTAATGTGGACCCGGAGGTGGTCAACGGTCTGCCGCCCTGCCCCCCAGCTGGTTTTGAGCTCTCTGATCTTGTCCATCGGCTCACTTACTTGCTACATACTTGCCGCGGCACCGGCCCGGTGCCCGCTTCTGGCATCCGCATGCTTCCGGGCAGGCACTAGTGGGTCGTATGGACCCGGATCTGGCCTGCATTTCGTATCCCCATGGTACCCATGCCCCAGCCTCTCGATCCGAGCTCACCGGGCGTTGTCTGCTGGCGGCGCCGCGGCAGCTCACTCTCCCCTGCCATGCAGACCAGTCCCTCCGAATGCACATTTGCACAGCGCCCACTGCCCGCATGGCCGCCACCAAGCTC